AGGAGAGTCGTAAGTTTGAGGACTGGTCAAAAGTGCGAGGACCAGTCAAAAATAACTTTTTCAGCCCTCTGAGTAGTCCATATGCATTAAAGGATACAGCAATAGAGAGGGATGAAGGAAGGGAAATTAGAGTAGGAGTGAGGGTAAGAGAGGGAGGAAGAGAGGAGGAGAAGGAGAAAGAAAGAGGAAGTAGGGAGAAGAAGAGGGGGGGAAGAGAAAGTAAGAAGGAAAGAAAAGAGAGAGATGGTAGGTTTGAGGAGAAAGATTGCTGTACAATAAAAAAGATGAAAGGGAAGAAAGCCAACCCCAAGCAAATATAAAGATATTAAGATAAAGAATGAATTGTTAAACTTTAAAGAATAAAAGAGAACAAATATAAATAAATAGCAATAATTAGAAACACACATACAAACATACAATGTATTTTCTTTGAACAGAATATTTGGCTGGTTCACAAATTTAAACAGTGTTTAGTCATTTCAATTAAATTTACAATTTCTATATTTCCTTTTTGCCATATTTATTTCTCATCTATTTTTTAAAAAAACCAATATTACCCTTTATCCTCATCTCTAATCTTAATCAAATTCAATTTTTCCCTTCTATTCTATATTATACCCCTTCCCATTGTCATCTATTTTTATATCCATCCTCACATTGGTTAATTATGTAATTATGTAATACAGTTGTTTAATACAAATTCAACATTTTAATATAAATCAATTAGTTATGTAACTATCTTTTTTGTATATTAATCAATATGAACATGAATATTCCAATTATTTCCATGCAATCCAATTTCTTACAAATCAATTAATTATATTTACCAATAATAATAAACCAAATAATTTCCCCCATATATTCCTCCAAACCACAACTTAACCATTTCTGCTTTCAACACAATATACAATTATTAATAGTATCTCAATTATTACAATTCCCTAGTTAAATAGAGCTTTTTTTCTTTTGTGTTTTAAAATCTTGAACTCTCCTCTTTTGCCCTAAATTTCCCATTGTTTGCAGTTTTGCACCTACCTTTTTTGGTGAGGAAAAAGAAAAAGAAATCTCTCTCTGCGTCATTTTGTCACGTTGCAGCTTTACTTTCGCTTTCGCTTTTTCAGCATAGCTAGGGGAAAAAAAAATCTGCTCCAGGAACTCTTTGCAGCCAATTAACCTATGCGGAAGCTGTAAGGGGCTGTTTTTTCTATTTTTGCAGGCATGGGTCTACTCATTTGTTTTCTTTTAACACTGATCAGCTGTAGGTCAGCCCTTTGAAGCCCCACGGCAAGAGTTTAAACAGTTTTTTTTCCTCTAGCCATCAGCTGGGACTCAGGAGGCAGCCGGGACTCAGGAGGCAGAAAGAAAAATCGAGACTTTTTTAAAACGCCGCGGGACGTGGGACAAATTGCTAAAAATCGGGACTGTCCCACCAAAAGCGGGACGTCTGGTCACCTTATCCTATCATGTACATTTATTCAAACATATTCATTTTGTACATACTTTTTTTCAATAGATGCTTTTTAGTGCCTGTATATTTTCTGAATTTTGCAAATCTATTCTGGTTCTCACATAGGTTTGGGAAATAACCATTCAAACTAAAACATGTTTCCATTTCTCTACCTTGAATAAATATGAAAGATAGAGATAGGATTGTTGCTTTACTGTTGTTGTTTTTTTAATTAGGACCAGCCTGCAAATAAATTGAAGTTCTACTCTCAAAGTAACTATTGTAGAGTCAATAATTTATAAAATAATTTGAGCATTTCAAAGCACAGGGCTATATTCAATATTATATGAATACTCCTTGGATTTACAGAAATTCCCACAGATCCTCTTCTTTTCCATCTGTGAAAACAGAAATTATCCTGGAAAGTTTTCTAAATCTCTGGATATGAAGAGTGATAATGGGAGTATAAAGATCCTGTTCTACTGGAAGGGTAAATGTGCAATCAAATGTTTATATATTGCAGAACTAGGAAGAAAATACTTCATGTTCTCTAGTAGAATGGCTTCCAATCAATGTTTCCAAATTGCTTTACCAAGAAAATGTGCCAGAGACAGATATGAAGCATAAGTAATTTGTAAATCAATGTAAGAAGAAAAAATTGGCTCTGTCTGTGCTCCTTTTTCTTGTATTCCGTTTTACCTGGAGACAGAATGACATTGCATTAAGCAGCTTCAACTTCATGCCAAGCATGTTGATGTTTATCATCCACAAAATGTATACACAAACATGCTCTGTAGATCTGTTCTAATTAACATGTATACATCAGGAATGGAAGTTGCTATTTCATTCCTCTGACATGTTAATTTTAATCCACAAGAGCATCAGGCTGACATCTATAGTTTTCCCAGCAGTGAAACAGAGAGACTCAGAACATCCAAGAATCATTATATGAAATTAGGAGAGTAGATTTGCTGCATGGATCTTCCTATCAGGATATTTGGCAAAATATCAAAAACAAGTTCTTGTAGGCTTGAGAATTACTTCTTGTGTGACAATGCTTGTAATCTGTGAATCACCCAGATAGTTCATTGACCTATGCTTTATCCTGTATAAAAGGCTATATATTTATTACGGAAGGAGATTGCTTGTAAACATGTCAAGAACTAACAGACACAGAATTCCTGTTTTGTGTGACCTATTCTAACAGAAGGAAGGGAAAGAAGAATCTGCATGCATGTTAGGAGCTCTTTTACTATAATTTGGAGGAAAACTGTGAATTATGTTTTATAATGTCAATAATTCAGAATGATTCTATGAAGAACTAATAAGTTTGGCGGAGGAGAGTGCTTCAGAGCTGGACTTCAACGAAGAGAATGCTAAGTATAAGACGGATACAGGACATGACTCTTGCAGACATAAAGCAAAGGAGTAGACATCTGGCTTGTTTGTCAAATTGATGTGTGTAGGACAAAAATCTATAGTATTGGCAGAGATGTCAATGGTGGTAAAACTACAGAAATTCTTCTAGGATAGTACAAACTACACAGTATAGTTAAATGAACTGGCTTGGAAAAATACTTAGCGTGATAGGATATTCTACTGTATCACTTTTATTATAAACATAGCTTTTAAGACAATATTCAAATCAAACCACTGTGATAGGGAATCCTGAGGAAGAAACTATTGCAATTAGCTGAGTTTAGTGAGACCATACACAGAACCAAATGGAAATTTTATTTCTACTAAAACTTCAAACTGCTTTGTTGTAATGAAATAGATTTTGCTCCTTAGAAGCAACACTGACTAAGCATAAAGGAATATCCACAAGAAGCATAATATTCAAAAAGAGTCTTCCACGACATTCCAAACCATATCAGCCATTCTCAAAATATGTGTTAAGCATTGATTATGTTTTTAACTAGAGATGTTCAGAATGCAGTGGCACAAGCAGTAATGGGCACTTCTCATTGTGGCCATATGTCACCACTGCTATGAGAGTTGCATTGGCTGCCAGTTGGATTCCAGATACATTTCAAGGTGCTGGTTTTTACCTCTGAAGCCCTTCATGAGCTGGTTAAATGAGGACCATCTTTCTCCCATTGTTTTTGCCCATTCAGTGTGTTTGGGAAGAATGGGTGCAGTCCAGGTATCTTTTATTACATGTTACCATTTTTTGGGACTTGGAAAGCATGCCTTCTCTGTTGCAACCTCCATACTCTGGGACATCATTTCTCCAGAAATGTGGATGCTGCTCTTTTTCCTGTGATTCCAATAAGCTCTTACAACCTGGCTTTAGTCCCAGGTTCAGGGTTGATGTGTTTGGGAAGGTCCTTGCCATTCTTCGTTTTCAATAAAGAAGAATATTTGTAGCTCGGGGTTAAAATGTGATGCTCTCTGAGCTTGGTTGTTTTCTTGCAGACATTTAATTACTCCATTTTTTTTGTTTTTGTTTTTAATGGTAGTTTTTAGCCCAGGATGCCTTGTTTTGTTTTATCAATGTTTTTAACTAATTTATATTATATTTTGCAAATCTCTCAGAATCTGCTGGAATGGGCAGCTGTAATAACTTTAATAAATAAATAAAGTCCTCTTGCCTTCTGAGCATTCAGTAGCAGTTATCCATTTCAAAAATTGGAAGTATATAACTACAGCTACATTATTATGAAGGACTATATTCATATAATAACTCTGAATCATCAAAGTTGCTGATAGAGTCGAAATAGCAATTGCTAAATTCTAGCTGATGAACTTAATCTGCAGTTATTATTGATCCTTATGGATAACATTTTTCAGAATATGTTGAAAAGCTAAAAAAGACATCCATCTAGTAGGCTGAGCAGTAAAAGAATAGATAAAGTCTGACTCTTTAATCTATGGAAATGTCATCTCTGTTGGCCAGACATCTTGTATTTTTTCTTTAAAACTATTTTTTATTGCATTCCTTTTTACCTTCATCCTTCTTTGAATACTCTTCAACTCTGATTACTATCTGAGTTCAGCTCTGAATTAGATCTGCCACTATCGTGAATAGTTTTAAGGTTACAGTTTTATGCATGTTGTTTTAAATGTTCCATTGAGCTAAGGACTGGATCTAAGTATTTTTTCTCTCTCTGCCACCTAACCCATTCTGACCTTCAAAATTTATTATGAGCAGCTACTGCAAGACTTGCATAGTTCTTTCTGGATTTTATGTTTAGTTCTTTTAGGAAAACGGTACAAGAAAGAGTCAGATTGGAGGAAGAGAGGGAGGGAGAGAGAGAGACTGAAATCACCCATTTCATTCACAAAGCATAAATAGCTTAACTTTTCAGATATTGAAATACTCCAGTACTTATACATGACATTATGTAAATCCTAGTAACATACTTTTTTAAAAAAAAATCCAGTGATCTCTGAACAATTTGTTGTATTTTCTGGATATAGTTAATCTCTCTTGATCACAAAGATTATATGTACAGATGCCTCCTAATCTGTACAGATTGTCTTAACATCTCTTAATTCTTACTGCATATAGCAGGTACATTCTTAAGCATACAAAGTCAATGATACTTACTCCTGTTATGTAGCGAGCTCTATACTGGATGGTTCCAAATAGGCCAAGTATGACTATAATAATGTGTACAAAATTTGCCAGGATTGGTGCCCACTGATAACCAAGGAAATCAAATATCTGTCTCTCCAGCACACAGACCTAGGATTAAAGAACAACAGTGATTTGATTAGAATAGCTCAAGAAAAAAAAAGAAAGAAAAGAGAGAGGGAAAAAAACAGTGTTTTGAAAAATAGTTTCTCCTTCTTCAGTACCACCATTAGAAACTTGTCGTATCACTTGATGAGGCAAAAAAGGCAAAGAAAAGCAGATTTTCACTATGATTCACTCTTTTTGTAAAAATGTACCTTTTTAGAGCAACAGTCCATTGAGATCTGTTTAGATAAAATATTCACAAGGGCAGTTTTAGCAAGATACAAATCCTCATTCAATGAGATGCTACAGCTGAAGGCAGTGAAGCATTAACAACTTCATCATTTACCATTAATAGGATTTCAATAGGATTTCCATGTCTAGAATGGGAGGCTTGTTTGCAAGTCCAATACAGGTTTTTTTCAGATCAAAATGTGAGTGCATACATGTGTGTGTGTGGCAAAGGAAAGGATCTGAATCAAGTTTCAGATATAGGAAATTAAGATTGATCCAGATTTGCAAGGCAAGTGATTGCACTGCAAAATTATGATTTATTATTTATTTATTTACTAATTTATTTTATATGCCACTAGTTTCACTACCCAGAGTAAGTCTGGGTAGCTTACAATAGTATGAAAGCATTAAAAGGGTTAAAATTAACAACAATTGAATAAAGGATTTATTTAAGGTATGGACTTGAACATTTTGTAGATTCCTGAAAGAGATTTTGGGAATTAGATATCTTACATAAATTATATTCTGCCTTATTGAAACCGTCTGAAAATCTATTGAAAAACTCAGTTTATTTCTAAGACTTCTCTCCTATCTTGATGAGAGAGAGAGAGAGAGAGAGAGAGAGAGAGAGAGAGAGAGAGAGAGAACAGACAGACACACAGAGTGAGACAGAGAGTCATTAGACATATACCATCACTAAAGAACACAGATCATTCAGATAATTGTCTCTCAAAATGTGTCAAGTTCTTGGAAACGTATAGAACTTCTTTTTCTCAGGAATGCCAAACATAGAAGGCACACTGATTGTAGTTGTCATTGTGTAAAGTGGAAGTCCATTTTAGCAACTGTCAAAACCTATGTACTATAATTTTCAGCACTCTGGAATGGCTTCATATGAGCTAAATGCATCACTGCTTTACACTTCTGATCCACATCTGAGGACAACAGCCTCAGATGAAACGATATGACAACCGTTTTAGCACCATCACCATTCACAGACCAAGTATACTTGGTTCCAGTGAGCTGATAGAAAGAGCTAAAGAACGATAGAACCGCAATAATAGTACCAAAGTAGCCTCCCCTTTAGTCTGTTGCTTCCCATAGAAAGAGTTTCTCCTTAATGTTGCAAAGGACAGAAAAAAATATGTATGCATAAGAACAAATGAATGAGAGCTGAATCCTGGTTCTCACCTTCAGAATCTTATTTATGAAAAGTGAGAGGGATGTTTGATTCAGCAGACTTGCTTAGTTTCCTCATGACTACTATTACCTGTGAGATTCAGGTTTAGCGGAATAAGATATTTTTCATAAAATCCCAGAGTGACAGCATCCTGATTTTCATCTAAAAAGTTAACTAGAAGAGGTCTGGTTCATAGCTGAAACCATTATAAAATCCCAGAGTTACAGACTAAGCTGGGAAATAAAAAATCATATTAGAAGAAGGCTATAATAAGCCTCTTCTGTAATGTTTTAAGGAAAACAATATACTGTACAATACAGTGGTGGGTTCCTCCCGGTTCGGTTCGGCCGAGCCGGTAGCGGTGACGATATGACGTCACCAAACCGGTTCTCCCCCCCGCCCTCCTACCCCCTCACGTTATTCTTACCTTTTATTTGGTCCCACCCCCAATCTATTGCTGCCTCCTGAGTCCCAGCTGATGACTAGAGGGGAAAAAAAACTGTTTAAACTCTTGCCGCGGGGCTTCAAAGGGCCGTCCTACAGCTGATCAGTATTAAAAGCAAACAAATGAGTTGGGTCGTAAGTGCGAGGACTGGTCGTAAGTGCGAGGACCTTCCAGAAATGACTCTGACCAGCTAGCCACGCCCACCTAGTCACATGACCCCAAGCCACACCCACAAAATAAGCCACGCCCACAGAACCGGTAGTAAAAAAATTTAGAACCCACCCCTGGTACAATAGATATGCCCAAATAGTCATCAGGAGACAATTTATGCATTAATGAAATGATTTCCATCCAAAAAAATTGATGACATGATTTGAGATGCCAGTCTCTAGTCTTTAAGATACCACAAAGTTTTCCTGCAATAGAAACAAGAACTTACTTCTCTATGTTGTGGTATTTATGTATGTATGTATGTATGTATGTATGTATGTATGTATGTATGTATGTATGTATGGCTGAAAGTAAATTTGAACTAATGTCATTTTAATATTTCAAGGATGACATAATTCTTTATTTCAATTAAATACTACATTACAATTTCAAGGAAATTTGGGGAAAAATGCAATTTTGTTTACAAACTGTGTAATACGATTAATCCAATTTTAGAATCAAGTTGCCACACTTATGGAAACATAGAACAATCATTCAGTCTACTTTATCTGTCTAACACATATCAGTTTTCACATCCATATTCCCATTGCATCATACAAACTACATAACATTTATTGCGAATAACTCAGGGTCCCAGCTAACTAAACCACAACATCTGCACACAAAAATACAAAATACTTTCATATCTTCAATACCTCTAATATCATCACAAGCATTCTTCATACATTTATTCAAATTTATTAAGAAATTTTCACTGCATAGTTGGAAACTATTTCTGAACTTATTTACACATCCCTACCCATAAATCCATTCATTAATTTTACTTCTGCCTATCCTTTTCCTCTATCTTGAAAAGTGGTACTAAAAGCAAGGGAAAGCAAAACATTTGCTTGTAACCCTTGGGTACCCATTACCATTAGCCACATGGTTTATGCATTGCCTGTTGTTGTTGTAAATCAAAATGGGAAACCACTAGTACCACATAACAGGTTTAAGTTTATCTATTTTTTTTTCAAACTGACTTGAAGATTTAGACATAGGGAACAAAGAAAGTTGACTTTTGTTATATAACAAAAAACAAAATAACAAAAATGATACTTCATCCTTAAGATCTTTAACATTACATCAAGTACAAACAATAACAGTATATGTCCTAAGATATACTGTGGTAATTATAATACATTTCTTGTAATAATCATAAAAATGGCATCAACAAGCAGGAAAACATTTTTTATTTGAACTGATTTGGACCTGCAATATATATCTATAGTGCACTGGTTTATTTTAATTGTTTACATGAATAAACTAAGTGAGCAATTGATCAGGGATTTTGATGCTCTTGAGGAATAATCACATTAATCTCGAAGGAATATAGAGAAGCTCTTCAATATGATTATTTATGTACTTTATTCCAGACCCAACAAAATATGCACACAGCGTACCATTTTAAATGGTATGCATTTAAATGCTTTGCATCATTTTGCTATATTCAAACAACAGCTTGGTAAGGAACAAGGCCCTCAAGAGGGTTTAACTAGCTGTGTCCTTGAAATCCTTTATAAATTAAAATAAAATCAGTAAACAAAATTAATTATTCTGGTGAGATACTTTATCTCAGAGACCAATATTAGCTTTTAAATAAACAAAGGTGCATGCATAACATAAGCATCTAATTCAACTGCTCCACTGCCATGTTTGAGTAGAAAAACGTACAAAGAGTATTTCCATTTTTTTTTACATTTTAAGAAGAAACAGCTTTCTCTTCTTCCGCCATTTTCTTTGAACTTTGTTTCTGCTCTGAATTTACAGGCAAGCAACACATCCAGTAATTCCATTTTTGTCAACCAATTATATTACATTAGGCATATTATTAAGCGTTTAAAGACATTTCATATTTTAGCAAAGCATATCAGGAAGCGTTTTAGCTAATCTTTGTCATAGGGCAACCAACTTGGAACACTCAGCTGCCAGGATGGAGTCTAAAGAAACAAAAATGATGGGCAAAGTTTGAACAGACAAGTTCTTCCCAAAAAATTGAACTTTAGAAAAAGGGGTATTTCCTCCCAAAGAGATCTTAGCATTTTTAGGCACTAAGAGAGAGGGATTGCAACAGAGAAAAAAAGCTAGAGATAGACTAACCATTATATATCACAGGTATACTAATTTAAAAAAAAAACATATGCAAGAAAGCAGTGAAGAAACACATAGAATAGAATTCTTTATTGGCCAAGTGTGATTGGACACACAAGGAATTTGTCTTTGGTGCATATGCTCTCAGTGTACATATATATATACTAGCTGAATACCCGTGCTCCGCTACGAAACTATGTGATCAGGCTTGATAAATCAACACTTAAGAGTTTGAAAATTAATGAGTAGTTACGATTGGCTTCTCCTCTCCCTCAGGCTAGCCCCACAGAAGCTTCTCTTCTCTTTCCCCTTCTCTCCCTCAGGCTTGCCCCATAGATCCTCTCCTCTCCCCTTCTCTCCCTCAGGCTGGCCCCATAGACCCTCTTCTCTCCCCTTCTCTCCCTCAGGCTGGCCCCACAAAAGCCTCTCCTCTCCCTCAGGCTGGCTCCATGGAAGCCTCTCTTATCCTACCCCCTTCTCTACCTCAGCCTGGCCCCATAGACCCTCTCCTCTCCCCTTCTCTCCCTCAGGCTTGCCCCAAAGACCCTCTCCTATCCCCTTCTCTCCCTCAGGCTTGCCCCACAGAAGCCTGTCCTATGCTATCCCATTCTCTCCAGAGTTATTTTCAAGTTGGGAGGGGGAGTAGAACATCTAACTAATTAGCATCAGAGCGTGTTATAATAATATAGGAAATACTAATGCTCTGATGGTCGTTTCGAAAAATCCTTTCTTAGTGAGCACCTAGAAGCCAAGAGGGACATATGTGGCAAATTTCAAGTTTGTAGGCTTTACGGTTCGGGAGATTTCGTGATTAATGTGTGAGTAGTTTTCACTATACACACACACACA